CTCCCGTGCGTCCGTCGGGCGGTGTCCCGCGGTGTCCCGTGGTGTCCCGTGGTGTCCCGTGGTGTCCCGTTGGGTGAGATCGATATTGAGACCGATACTGAGATCCATACTGAGATCGATGCTGAGATCGATGTGGTGCCCCGTGGTGTCCCGTGGTGTCCCAAACATTGGGATCGATAGCGAGATCGATAGTGAGATCGACAGGTGTCCCGTGGTGTCCCGTGGTGACCCGTGGTGTCCCGTTGAGCGAGATTGATAGTGAGATCGATACTGAGATCGATGTGGTGTCCTGTGGTGTCCCGTGGTGTCCCAAATCATGAGATCGATAGTGAGATCGATCTTGATATTGACAGTTGTCCCATGATGCCCCGTGGTGTCCTATGGTGTCCCGTTGAGTGAGGTCGATAGTGAGATCGATAATGGAGTCGATAGTGAGATCGACGTGGTGTCCTTTGGTGTCCCGTGGTGGCCCGTGGTGTCCCGTGGTGTCCAGGGGGGTCCCGCTGAGTGAGATCGATGGTGGGATCGATAGTGAGACCGATCGTGAGATCGAAAGTTGTCCCGCGGTGTCCCGTGGTGTCCCGTGGTGGCCCGTGGTGTCCCGTTGGGTGACATCGATCGTGAGATCGATGGTGAGATCGACAAGTGTCCCGTGGTGTCCCGTGGTGTCCCGTGGTGTCCCGTTGAGTGAGATCGATCGTGAGATCGATTGAGTCAGATGTTGGCCCCCCCCTCTCCCCCCCCCACAACCTCTTTATCACCCGAAGGGTGGTCGTATAGGTATATCAGAGTCGTGTCGGTGCGTCTCGGCGCTGCCTTGGCGCATCGGGGAACATCATGCGGGCGCGGATAGGAATCCTTGACGCAGATTCCGACTTTGGCTTTTATCGAAGACGCTTACGGCGAGTCACCGCCGCCCCCTGCCCCTTTGGAAGCGCCTCTGTGGCCGGCTGGGCCAGAGCTTGGCCAAACTATCGGGCCAGTTGTTCCCCGAGTCGGTTTGGAAAGACTTCGGGGAACGCATGGGGAAGTAAGAAGAGGAGGAGGGGGAGGACAAGGACAACAGAGGAGGAGGAGGAGGAGGAGGAGGAGGAGGAGGAGGAGGAGGAGGAGGCCTCTTGGGCGCATCTTGAGGCACTCCTGGGGCCTCCTGGGAGCTTCCTGAGGGCCTCTTGGAGGGTTTGCGGGGGCCTTTGGGGCTTCGTGGGGGCGTCTTTGGCCGTCTTAGGGCGTTCCTGGCTTGTCTGACGCCGTCGGAAGCCGTCTTGAGGGCCTGTCTGGGTCGTCTTGGGGCCCTCTTAGGGCATATCAGGGGCTCTTAGAAGCCATCTTGGGCGTCTTGGAGGCCTCTTGGGCCGTTTGGGGGCCCTCTTGGGGCCGTCTTGGGGGCCTTTTGGGCCGTCATGGGGCCATCCTGGAGGCCTCTTGGGCCATATTGGGGGCCCCTTCGGCCGTCTTGAGCCGTCGAAATACCGGGAAGAATCACATGCCAACATCTTTTAACAATTTTCGGACAATCAGTGGTTTTGGCCTCGTCGTGCCCTCCTGGAAGACCTCCTGGACGCCTTTTGGGCCGTCTTGGAAGCCTCTTGGGGGCCTCTTGGGCCGTCTTGGGCCATCTTGAGGCCATCATCTTAGGCCGTCTTGGGTGCATCTTGGGCCGTCTGGAGGCATCTTGGGGCCATCTTAGCCGTCTTGGAGGCCATTTTGGCCGTCTTGGAAGCCCCTGGGGCCCTCTTGGGGCCGTCTTGGGGGCCTCTTGGGCCGTCATGGGGCCATCTTGGAGGCCTCGTGGGCGGCGATATTGGGGACCTCTTCGGCCGTCTTGAGCCGTCGGAATGCCGAGAATAACCACATGCCAAAATCCTTCAGAAACCAAAGGGAACTCAATAACTTTGGCCTCTTCTGGAGGCCTCCTGGGCCGTCTTGGAAGCCTCTTGGGGGCCTCTTGGGCCGTCTTAGTCCATCTGGAAGCCATCTCAGGCCGTCTTTGATGCATCTTGGGCCGTGCTGGAGGCATCTTGGGGCCATGTTAGCCGTCTTGGAGGCCATCTTGGGCGGAGGCCTCTTGGGCCGTCTTGGGCCCTCTTGGGGCCGTATTGGGGACCCTCTTTAGGCCGTGATGGGGCCATCTTGGAGGCCTCGTGGGCGATCTTGGGGCGATCGTGGGGGCCTCTTGGGCCGTCTTGAGCCGTCGGAAGGCCTAAAAGAAGCAAATGCCAGAATCCTTCAAAAACCGGAGGGAAATCAATGATGTTGGCCTCTTCGGGTCCTCCTGGAGGACCTCTTGGAGGCCTCTTGGGCTGTCTTGGAGGACGGGGTCGCGGCGCCGGGGGCGCGAATGCGGCGCAACGCGCGAGGGGCCGTGGCCGCTGGCGCGCGATTTGCGCAGGATCATTGCGCTGGGAGCGCGAAGCTATTCATTCATATATATATATATACACACACATCCACACACACATATATATATATATATATATGTATATATGTATGTATGTATATATGTATGTATGTATGTGTATATATATATGTGTATATATACATATATGTATATATATATATATATATGTATTGAAATAGAAGTAACTGGGAAGACAAACAAACAAAACAACGTGTCCCACGGCCCCGCAGGAATTCAGGCGATGCGATTCGGGGGCGGTGGCCGGGGTCCTTTCGCCCCCCCCCCGCCCTCGCGCGGACGTCAACAGTTTACGGTAGGAAGCCGAAGGCAGAGCTAGAAAATTGGAGACTGTCCTCCTCCTCCTCCTCCCCCTCCCCCTCCTCCTTCTCCTCCTCCTCCTCCTCCTCCTCCTCCTCCTCCTCCTCCTCCTCCTCCTCCTCCTCCTCCTCCTCCTCCTCCTCCTCCTCCTCCTCCTCCTCCCCCTCCTTGGAAATCGCCACTGACGCAGGGGGCAGCAACCCTAATCCTCGCGGCCTGATGGTCCCGCAAGGGGGCCAGCGGATTACTGCGCGCGTGGGCGGTGAGACAGGACAGGGGGATGCCGCGAAGCCCGTCGGTCACTCCCGCTGACGACGCGAACAGCACCGCGCACGCCGCGGCGGGGATAATGACCCCCGTCGTTGAGGCATTGAAGTTCGACGATCTCCCCGGACGACAGGTTCGCTTGGAAAGGATACAAGGCTGCGCGACAATGGCGAAAGCTGAGCACGACGTGCAGAATGCCAAGATCCCTGGTGAGAGCCTCAACGTGGTTGGAAGCAGCGCTGTCGCGACTCGGAATCAGGACTGGCCATTCATATTTCGACGCTTCGTGGATGTGAGGAAATGATGATATTGGAGATAGGGCTATATGGCTTTGGGGCTATAGGGCTATAAGGCTATGGGGCTATAGAGCTATAGGTCTATAGGGCCATTGGGCTACAGGGCTATAGGGCTATACGGCCATATGGCTTTAGGGCTAAAGGACTATAGGGCTCTAGGGCTATAAAGCTATGATGCTATAGGGCTATAGGGCTACCGGGCGCCGCCGGGCACCCCCGGGCACCGCGTGTATTATCCAGCGTTGGGGATTGTTCCTGGAGCACCCCGAATTCGATTTCCAGAGGAGCCTGAGTCACGATCCTCACCAGCTTCGACCTCGACCCCCGCGAGCTTCTGAGGCTTCCTACGAAAGTGATAGAATCGCCTGCTGGGAGGGAGAGGGCGAGGACCTGCTCGGCCCATGGATCCTCCTGGAGACGGATGGGTCGCGCTCTGACGCCAACCACCCTCTCCTTCCCAGAGCTGGCCGCGTTGCGCAGTATGACGAAGGCCATAGACTTAAATCTAGTTGCAGGGCTTGTGGACCTCACCAATTCTCACAAAGAGCGGAGGCGCTTGCTGTTGCACATGCGGCATCAACATGTGAAGCGCCCATCCATTTGCCAGTTGATAACAAGGCGGCTGTCACGAAATTGGAGACATCCTCAGAAGTGGGCCACTTTCAGGCTTTAGACCACCTTGATGTCTGGGAACGTGTCAAGCTCGGGGTGCAGGCTTGGTTGGCCTTGCAGGATGATCCCATATGTGTCGCCCATGTCAACTCTCGCTTAAAACCGAGAGGGATCGACCATGGGCGAATATCGGTGGTACACCAAGCACTGAGCATGGGCGCTGATTCTGCTGCCAGTGCCGCCCGGTGCAGTAAGCAACATGTTCCCCCTGCCATCCCTCTTGCGTAAATTGAAGCGACGGACGAGGCAAGCTGTTCTTACCCATCAGGCTGTTTCGGCCATGTGTCTGGCTTGGGCGAATGTGCGCCCCCGTCCAGGCCGCACGGCAGGCTCTACGGAGAGCTCGGCGCGCGGAGCCGACCACCCCTTTGTCCTGTTCCTGTCGACGCCGGGAAGAGGTGAAGCGAGACGGAGGCAGATGCCTCCCCCGACGGAGTCGCCCCCCCCACCCACCCCGAACTCCCCCCGCGACCACCCCCCACCCCCCCCCTGGAACTCCCCCCGCGAATCCTGGAGTCGCTCCTGGCCCTGGGATCGGCTCGCTGGTCGATTTTGGGACCTTCTCGAGGATACGCCGCCCGACTGCGAAGACAGGGTGGCGACCCGCCGGGGCCGTGCCTTTCGAGCTGCGCTGAAATCTGCGGCTCGCCAAACCTGCCCCGCTTTTTCAGCACCTGACTCTGCACATGCCTCGTCTCGCTGGAGGCTGCTGGAGGAATGTGAGAGGGTTGACATTTACTGGATGGTTTGCCTAGGATTGTGGACTGAGCCGTGGAAGTTATGGCTTTTGGATCTTCACCCGCGGCTGCAGGTTTACACTTCTGATGTTTGGAAGGGGACCCCTGCGAGGGGCCCAGTCAGCAGTCCTCTGCAAACTCGTCTCGCTCCTCCTCCTCCCCCTCCTCGTCCTCTTCTTTCTCCTTCTTCCTCCTGCTCCTCCTCCTCCTCCTCCTCCGCCTCCTCCCCTCCCGGCGCGCCGCCGACCCCCCTCCTTTGCAGGGTGTCCCTGCGGGGTGTCTTGCTGCCCCCGTCGGTGGCCCCGGAAGGCCACGGAGCACGAGCAGACGCGCGCGAGGGCGCTGCTGGCGAGGGAGAAGAAGAAGCACGAGGACCACACGTCGTCGCCGCCGCCGTCGTCGTCTTCGTCCGTTGTTTTCCTCGTCTCGGACCGGACGAAAGGGGGGGATAGGGAAAGGGGGGGGTGCGAAATCTGCTGCGTGCAGCTGGTTTCGGCCTCACCGATGGGGCCCATTCCTCGATACATAGCTGCCTCCGGCGCTGGGAGGCGCCGGGAAAATCAGCTACGTGAGCTGATTCTCAACCCCCCCTTTGCAATCCCCCTCGTCGGTGTCGTCGTCCTTGTCGTCGTCCTCGTCGTCGTCCTCGTCGTCGTCGTCGTTGTCGTTATCGTCGTAAGCGTTGTCGTCGCTGCCGCCGCCGTCGTCGCCGTTGTCGTCGTCGTCGTCGTCGTTGCCGTTGTCGTCGTCGACGTCGTCGTCTTCGTCGTCTTCGTCGTCGTGGTCGTCATCGTCGCCGCCGCCGCCGCCGTCGTCGTCGTCGTCGTCATCGTCGTCGTCATCCTCGTCGTCGTCCTCGTCGTCGTCGTTGTCGTCGTGGTCGTCGTCGCCGCCGCCGCCGTCGCCGTCGCCGTCGTCGTCGTCGTTGCCCTTGTCGTCGTCGACGTCGTTGTCGTCGTCGTCGCCTTCGTCTTGGGCGTCATCGTCGCCGCCGCCGCCGACGTCGTCCTCGTCGTCGTCCTCGTTTTCGTCTTCGTCTTCGTGATCGTCGTTGTCGTTGTCGTCGTCGTCGTCATCATGTCGTCGTCGACGCCGTCGTCGTCGTCGACGCCGTCGTCGTCGTCGTCGTCGTCGTGGTCCTCGGCGTGGTCGTCGTCTTCGTCCCTGGCGTCGTCCTCGTCGTCCTCGTCCTCGTGGTCGTCGTCGTTGTCGTTATTGTCGTTATTGTCGTCGTCGCCGTCGCCGCCGCCGCCTTCGTCGTCGTCGTCGTCTTCCTCGTTGTCGTCGTCGTCGTCGTCGTCGTCGTCGTCGATCGTCGAGGAGGTCTGCCGTTGATCTTCTGCAGCCGCGGAGCCCGGCCGCGGGTCCACCGAGGGAGCCGGAGGGCCGCCGGAGGGCCGCCGAGGGTCCCCCGAGGGCCGCGGGATTCGATAGAGAGGCCGTCGAGAGCGAGGAGGAGGAGGAGGAGGAGGAGGAGGAGGAGGAGGAGGAGGAGGAGGAGGAGGAGGAGGAGAGGGAGGAGGAGGAGGAGGAGGAGAGAGGAGGAGGAGGAGGAGGAGAGCAGGAGAGAGGAGGAGGGAGGAGGAGGAGGAGGAGGAGGAGGAGGAGAGAGGGAGGAGGAGGAGGAGGAGGAGGAGGAGCTGAGCACAAGGAGTTAACTATCAGGAGGAGGAGGAGGATGAGGAGGAGGAGGAGAGGGAGGAGGAGGAGGAGGAGGAGGAGGAGGAGAGGGAGGAGGAGGAGGAGGAGGAGGAGGAGGAGGAGGAGGAGGAGGAGGAAGAGGAGGAGGAGGAGCGGCGAGGAACGAGGGGGCGAGGCAGGGAGGAATCGGGGCGGGACACACGAAGTGGAGGAGCAGGGCGCGAGGGGCGAGGGAGGAGGGGGGGAGGGGGAGGTGAGCACGAGGAGGCTTCCAGGGAGGGGGCGTTTCTGGAGCCAGGGCCTTCAGAAGCGGCTTGGATGGAGCGCGGGCTCTGGCGAAGGGCTCGAGGGGTTCTGAGACCCGCTTCGCGGGGAGCAACAGCGACGTCGAAGGTCTGTGAAGGAGGACGATAGAACAAAGAGGATAGCCAGAAACACCTCCTTCTTCTGTCTCCGTTCCTCCTCCCTTCTCTCCCTTCCTGCGCGCGCGGGCTGGTGGACGATGAGGTGGATGACATGTTCGAACGCGTGATGAATCGATGTTTCTGCAGATTCCCGAAGATCCCCGAAAGATTCCTGAATGGCTTCGCGGGGAGCAGGAGCAGGAGCAGGAGCAGGATGAGTACGAGGAGCAGGGGGCATATGGGCAGTATGCAATAGGCAGTTGGAGGGAGAGGAGGAGAAGGAGGAGGGGGAGAAGGGGGTGGGGTGGTCCTAGGTCTTCGAGGTACCCGTGAAACTCTCAGCGTCTCAGGAGGTTTCGTTTAATCCGGATTTTTGGGACCTCGCATGGGGTCCTCAGAGAGGGAGCAGCGGAGGGGAGGAGGGTACGATGATGAGGAGGACGGGAAGGAGGGAGGGGGGGGGGGGACAAGCGGGAGGAGAAGAGGGCAGGATGAGGAGGAGGAGAAGAGGGAATGCGGAAGAGGAGGAAGGGAAGGAAGAATAGGAGGTGGAGATGGGGGAAGACGAGGAACAGAAGGATATGGATGCTGACAGTGAGGAGATATGATGGCGATGTATGGTGAGGATGAGGAGGATGAGACGCACATTGAGGATGCAAAAGTGGGGGTAGGAGCAAGAGTAAGAGGAGGAGGAGGAGGAGGAGGAGGAGGATCAGAAGGAGAGGGAGCTGGATGAGGAGCAGGGAGATGCGGGAGAGGAGGAGAGGGAGGAACAGCAGGAGGTGGAGGAGAAGGTGGTAGGAGAAAAAGGGAGAGGAACAGGAGGAAGAGGATGGGATGCGCAGAATGAGGAGGATAAGGGAGTGCAGAAGGAGGACGAGGAGAAACAGATAACAGAAGAGAAATAGACAGCTCGAGGATCGCCTGCAAAACGGCGACCCTGATGAGAAGAGGAAAGCCAGGGCCGTGCTGGACGCCTTCCAGAGGAGCGCGCAGTCACCCATGCGTGGTCTCCTCAATTGCAGTCGTCGTCGCCGTCAACGGCTCTAAATCAACGGTGGGTGGACGAAAGTGTCCACACGTGTCTCGCCAAGACCTTGAGTTATCAATGCACGTCGGACCAAACTGTATACCCACCTTTCCCCCAAGTTCAAAGTTGACGGGCGTGTGCGTCAGGCCACAGGCCAGGGACAGAATGTGGATATTCCAACCTTGGGTTCGGGGGGGAGGGGTGCGAAGCGAGGGAATTTCGCAGTTGTGGATGTTATCATGTTGCATCGCCTTACCGCCACGGGTGTGGACACTTTTTGTCTGGGCACCGTCTGGGTTAGATGCGTTATGTGGCTTTGTCGGCGTTAAGACGCGTGCACTCGTGCGTGCAATCGTGCATGCCTTGGTGCATGTGTTCGCATTCGCCGCGATACATTGTCAGGTGACCTTGTGGACGTATATGAAGCCACGAGAGATCCGCAGGACAACCACAGGGACAACCCAGGGGACAACCCAAGGGTCAATCCAAGGGACAGCCACAAATGAGCAGGACACGTGTTGTCTGGGCACCGAGCTTGCGACGCTGCTGCCGTGAGCGTTCAGAATCCCCAGGGCTGGCACCGCGGCGTCAGCCTCGTCCACCGCGACCGAGGTTATGCGGAGGACGTGGGTCAGCCAGTCCACCTCCTGGGAGCAGATCAGGATGAGGGCGCCACAAGTTGCACACCAGTACAACCAGTGGTTCCAGGAGCACAGCCTCTGGAAGCAAAACTTCAAGCCCTGGGACCAGCAGGACCTGCGGAGGCGGTGTCCGCGCGTCGACGACGACGACGACGACGACGACGACGACGACGACGACGACGACGACGACGACGACGACGACGACGACCAACGACGACCAACGACGACCAACGAAGGACCGCACCTACTGGATGGACCGGCAGCAGCAGTGGGACGTGTGCCTGCAGCGAATCGCGTTCCAGCTCCAGCAGCAGCAGCAGCAGCAGCAGCTGCAGCACGCCAACAACACCTTTCTGCAACAGCAGCGGTACTACTGAGGTAGCTGCGGCGGGCACCGGCGACGGGTGAGGGGCTGCCTTTCTCTGTATGCAGGTGCCCGCCTCGGCTGCCGAGCCGAGCGTTCCCTCGCCGAGCCGAGCGTAGGACTGGGCGGCCTTCCACGCCAGGGGGTTCTCCACATCCAGCGATTCGGACACGTGCCGCACCCTCCTCCTCCTCCTCCTCCTCCTCCTCCTCCTCCTCCTCCTCCTCCTCCTCCTCCTCCTCCTCCTCCTGGGGACGTCGCGGGGCGTCAGATGCGGACACTCCCCGCCACAGCGGTCGGGAGGGCCTCCGCGTCCAGCGCTGCCCGAGATCCTCGGAGAGGGCACGCGTCCCAGTCGGGGGCTGCGGGCGAACGTCCCGGGCGCGGAGGGGCAGCACGCGCCTTCTCGTCGGGCGCCCTGCCTCGGCAGCCGAGCGGAGCAGCGGGGTCGGGCCTGGCCGAGCGCCTGGGCCGGGGACAGGCTGCGAGCGCCAGCACGGGGGCTTTCGGAC